CTGACGTTACTATATAAGCGCCAGGATCCTTTCTTCTGCTTCAGAATCTCCATGACTATGGTGCTCTTCGCACCTACTCCTAGGTTGAGGGACTGATTACCTCATCTTCTGTACATAGTTCTACTGTCTTCAAGTTATGTCCTAGAATTTGTATTGATAAAGCCACTGGATGGCGAAACGTCTACAATAAAGATACCCAGATGTTGCACATGTGTCTTAATCTCATCTTGTCGGTATTATATACCATTCGTACACAACTTGTTAGACACTGCAACATCATGGAATTTTAATTTTGAGGACATGTACATAACCTTCACGACTACGACAACTACTACTACAACTAACCCATCTCTTTGGGAAGGACCTACTTCCACTGGGGAATCCCGCCTACCAGTGAATATGCCCTCGTCTGCTACACCTGACGTTACTATATAAGCGCCAGGATCCTTTCTTCTGCTTCAGAATCTCCACGACTATGGTGCTCTTCGCACCTACTCCTAGGTTGAGGGACTGATTACCTCATCTTCTGTACATAGTTCTACTGTCTTCAAGTTATGTCCTAGAATTTGTATTGATAAAGCCACTGGATGGCAAAACGTCTACAATAAAGATACCCAGATGTTGCACATGTGTCTTAATCTCACATTTCATTCTCTTTGTCAGTAAGATGCCCATAGTTATTTTTAAGGGGACCTATCTTATCTCTAACTTTTGTTCTATAGACCTGGAAAAAACTTTTTGGGTTAGTTTTAGAATCCCTAGCAACTTTAATTTCATAGTCCCTTTTAGCTTTTCTTATCCCCTTTTTAATGTCCCTCTTAATGTCAATATACTGATTCATAAGATGACCCCCACCTCTTTTGACACGCCTATAAATTCCTTTCTTATGCTCTAGTAGATATTTCAGCCTATTATTCATCCATTTTGGGTCATTTCTATTTGATCTAATTTCTTTATACGGGATAAACGTTCTTTGAGCAGCATATATAGTGTTCAGAAAATTGTCATATCTCTTTATAAAGCTACCCAAGGTCCTAGACTCTGTCACTTTACTCGGAAGATTGTCACATGCAGCATTCTCCACCTGACCCAGCATTCTCCACCTGACTCCATCCTATAAATACTCACGTACCTTTCACCCAGGCAGATCTGTTTGTTACTTGATAAAGCCTACTGTGTGGGCGAAACTGTGTCAATAAAGGATCGCATTATACTGCTTGTGAACATTAAAATGGTATAAAATACCGACAGATTGTTAGGTAAGACACATATGCAACAGTTAGGTATCTTTATTTCGAAACGTTTCGCCTACACAGTAAGCTTCTTCAGTCGAGTACAGAAAAGTTGATAGAAGCAGAAGATACTTGAAGACGATGGACTGATTACATCGTCTTCAAGTATCTTCTGCTTCTATGAACTTTTCTGTACTCGACTGAAGAAGCCTACTGTGTAGGCGAAACGTTTCGAAATAAAGATACCTAACTGTTGCATATGTGTCTTACCTAACTATACTGCTTGTGTTAATATTTCCATTGTGTCGGTATTTTATACCATTTATTTCCAAGAACCAGGAATAACGGATTTAAGTTGGATAAATTTAGATTTAGAAAGGACATAGGTAAGTACCAGTTTTCAAACAGAGTGGTCGATGCGAGTAGGGTAATCGAGGCTAGGACCCTGGGTAGCTTTAAAAAGAGATTGGACAAATATATGAGAGGGAGGGGTTGGGTTTGATTGGTGTCGTGGGTACGGGAGTAAATTCTTAGGTAGCTTTGGGAAGGGGTAGTTTTGATAAGGACCTGTTTTGTATGGGCCACTGGTCCTTCTGCAGTGTTCCTCCTTTCTTGATAATAAATGGTTAAAATACTGACACAGTGGAAATATAAACATAATCAGTATGGAAATAAATGGTATAAAATACCGACACAATGGAAATATAAACACATATGCAGTATAATGTGATCCTTTATTGACTACGTTTCGCCCACACAGTGGGCTTTTTCAAGTCAATAAACAGAACTACCTGGGGTGGAAGGAACGCGAGTATTTATAGTCCAGTTCAGAATGCTGAGGTCAGGTGGAGAATGCTGCATCTGATGATGTACCGAGTGGGGTTATAGAGTCTAAAAACTTGGGTAGCTTGGAAAGAAGACACTGCCGAGAAGAGATACATAGTCCTCCCCACCAACTCCATTGCCAAACACGTTTCCAACATCTTTTCCAATACCTCATTTCAAGTATCTACCTCCACAACCACGACCATCAAGGACATTACCAGTGATGGAAAGGACAAGCTTCCACCCTCTGCAGGGGTATACATAATCCCTTGTAATGACTGCAACAAGTTATACGTGGTCGAAACATCAAGGGACCTCCAAACACGTATTTCAGAACACCAATACGCAAGCAGGTCTGACGACACAAGGAATGCCTGCGTACAACACCGTAATTCACACAACCACTTGATAAACTACAGAAACTCAAGACTTATCGCCACAGAAGACAACACTCAATACCGAAGAATCCTGGAATCATCACTTATTTCTATATCCGACAACTTCAACCAGAATAGTGGCTTCTATAACATAGCTGAACCACTTGCCAAGAAACTTCTTCATCGCTATCCCACATAAGAACACTGTAGAAGGTCTGCTCACAAACTTATCCAATCTCCTTTCCAAGCTACCCAAGTTTTTAGACTCTATAACCCCACTCGGTACATCATCAGATGCAGCATTCTCCACCTGACCTCAGCATTCTGAACTGGACTATAAATACTCGCGTTCCTTCCACCCCAGGTAGTTCTGTTTGTGACTTGAAAAAGCCCACTGTGTGGGCGAAACGTAGTCAATAAAGGATCACATTATACTGCATATGTGTTTATATTTCCACATAATCAGTATAATGTGATTCTTTTTTATGCAGGAGATGCCACATTCCCCCAATGAAAAGCAAGATAAGATTACGTTCGGATTTTTAACCCAGGAGGGTTAGCCACCCAGGATAACCCACGAAAGTCAGTGCGTCATCGAAGACTGTTTAACTTATTTCCATTGAGGTCCTCAATCTTGTCCCTCAGGATGCGACCCACACCAGTCGACTAACACCCAGGTACTATTTGCTGCTAGGTGAACATAACAATAGGTGTAAGGAAATGTGTCGAAATGTTTCCACCCGCCGGGTATCGAACCCGGGCCCTCCATGTGTGAAGCGGGAGCTTTAGCCACCAGGCCACTGGGCCATGAGTACACTGAGAGACAACACAATAAGTGTCTGGGACCCAAGACTGTTCAATTGCCTTCCAGCATACATAAGGGGGATTACCAATAGACCACTGGCTGTCCTCAAGAAGGCACTGGACAGTCACCTAAAGTCAGTACCTGACCAACCGGGCTGTGGTTCGTACGTCAGCTTGCGTGTGGCCAGCAGTAACAGCCTGGTTGATCAGACCCTGATTCACCACGAGGCCTGGTCTCAGACCGGGCCGCGCTGGCGTTGAACCCCGAAACCCTCTCCAGGTAAAATCCAGACTCAAGGAGCACAAAAGTAGTGTTAGGCTTGCCGACACCAACAATGCTCTTTTCTGCCATGTCAGAGATCACAGTCATCCTATTGACTGGTTTTCTGCTAAAACTGTCTACCCTACTTCTAGCTTTCACAGTCGCCGTCTGGTTGAATCTCCCTTATACACAACTTTCCTTGTATGAATCTTAGTCCTGGCTTTGTCTCTGTGGAAAATTGCATTTATCTGAATGTAACTAATCATGTACATAACAGTAAATGATAACAAAGATAATTATTATTTATCAATGTTACATAGACAAGTAGGAATTTGGGACACCTAGGTCGCAAAAAATGTCCCCCTTCGATACCTACCACTGTCATAACCACAAGTTGCTCTGGACCTATTAATTAAATGAAATATACATACACCAGGAATACTGGTAAATATATAAATTTGTGGACTGTATATTAAAAAATGATTATATATAAATTCACATATACATAACAGAAGGAATATATATCTTAATATCACTCACCAATTTGACTGGATATTAAGTTGTATCATACTCAGAAAAACCTCACTAACTAAATTTATGAAAATACTGGCCAGAATTATACACAAATCTAGAGAGCTTATCTGAGGTTCCTGGAGCTGTCTTGTCCAGTCGTTTGATATCTCAAGTTATGCAGGAATGCACATCCAACAATTTCGCCTCCTATTTGAGAGGTGTCAATCCAATTTTAACCTCTAGAGCACGAAAAATTCTTCCCATTATATTAACGTTGTATCCAATTCAAAACCAAGATGGCGAGTCCCTTCTGCGCAGACGCAGGCTTTCCGTTTTCTATGACATAAATATTATTAAATATAGTATGGCCATCTATTTACATATAAATACTGATTTTCTGGAAAATATATACAGTATTTTCCACAGTCTCTGTAGATACATTTCTTTCACATTACAGTGTAAAATGTTTCAAACTTCAGAACCTGTGACTTTACCTGATTCTTTTTCTCCTCCCTATTGTCCTTTCTCTTTCCCTCTTCTTTGGGTTTTCTTTCTTTTGCATTGGGTGTTTCTTTCTTTAATATTTCTCCACCCCCTGTGTTTTTGTTCCTATCGTTTGTGGGCGCCTAGCTCTTCTGCAGTGCTCCTCTTTCTTGGTCTTTGACTTCACTACTACTGTTTCTACCACTACCTCACTACTTTCTTTCCTACTACCTTTATTGTCCCGTCCCTGTCTGCTTGCCTATATATACTACCTCCTTCTCTCCTTTCTGTTTATTTATTATTATTACTATTTATTATTATTATTATTATTATTATAAGTCACTCTGTCTGACTTTTTTGGGTTATCCCAGGTTCTCTACACATATGCTGCTATGTATGATAATCTATATAACTGTATTTGCGTATACCTGAATAAACTTAATCATTGTAGGGTAGAAAATGATAAGGGAAACTGGGCCACTCAGGTTTGTGCTGGGAGAGAGCGACGTGTTGGTTACGTTGCATTGTGGGATATTCATAACACAAACAACCAGGTTTTGTTTATAGTCTGGCTCTCGCAGCTATTTAATTTTTTTTTAATATTCCCATACAGACAAGGTGCCATGGGTAGACGAAGCATAAACACCACCAAGAGTGGTAAATACATGAATCCAACAGATCAGGCCCGTAAGTAAAGCAAATAAATACATTAACATCTAAACCTTTAGTATTATATTAGCTATGAGTTCTGTAATAATGAAATAATAATTTTTAAAGTTCATTTTCTGGATGTATATTTCACTTTATGGGATTTGATTGATAAAATTTGTAAATATTCAGTAGAAAATCTTAATTGCACATTTTTGTTCTCCAGCTCTAAATCTTAGGAAATCAATATATTCAGTTAAAGAGAGAAATAAAAAAGGGAATAGGAAAAGCAAAAAGAGATTATAAGATTAAAGTCGCAAGGGATTAGAAGATTAATCCAAAAGGTTTCTTTCAGGTATACAGAAGTCAGATTAGGGACAAGATAGGCCCATTCAAAAGTTATTTATGTCAGCTCACTGACAATGATAAGGAAATGTGTAGAATTTTTAACAGTTATTTCCTCTCAGTTTTTTATGCAGGAAGATACTAGTAAAATTCCAGGAATAATGAACTATTTTATACCAGTTTCTGGATTTTGCAATATTTCATTTGCAATGAAAATGTGCTGTGTGGGTATGTGTTACAGTAAACTTTATAGCAATTTTATATCTATCCATCCACTCACAGATCTTAACAAAGGGAGGTCCCAGTGGTTGTAGAGTGGTTTATGTCAGCAATCATCACAGGGTGAAAAGAGTATGTTCTTTGCTCTTTGATTCCCGTTGTCATCATCAGATATGATTAGCAGACTTATTCAGCTGGGCTACAACTGGCCCTCTAGTTTTAGCTCTTGCTCTCTAGCCAAAGCATCATGTTTCCTATCAGTGAGCCACAGCTCCAGGTAATGTTCTAGGTGAACAAAAATAAGAATACTGTACTGTATATGGATTTCCAGCACAGCAAACACATGGGAGCTTTACTGAGTATATGTGGCCCTGGCAGCCCTGGCATGGAAAGCCCCAGCGAGTACATCCCAAGGGGTCAATGAGGACTGTAATTACCACTATCATGAAGTTATTGCATTCTGTGGCCGACAGTTTTTGGAGTTATGTTTTTCAGCTTGTTCATTGAGTTAGTATCTGTTGTTTTAAATTAGTGTAAAGTAGTACATATTATACAGTAATATATATACTTTTTTCTTTATGTGGGAAAGTGATGGAATGTATCAGGAATATATATGTTTTGTCTTATAAGATATGATTCAGGATAGGCCTAGAAACTGTTTCTAATTAGTATGTCTGTTGCTTCTTTTGGGTCGGCTTTGTAACTTTGAGTAGTTATGCAGCTCACTCTTATTGTTTGTAATTGACAGATATTATTTGACTTTGTTTTTGTAGTGTTTGTACATTAAATAATATGTAATGTTTTCCAGGTAAGGAGGCTAGAAAGAGAGAACTGAAGAAAAATAAGAAACAACGGCAGATGGTTCGAGCAGCAGTACTTAAGGGAAAAGACCCATCACAAATTATTATGGAGATGGAGAAAATTGACAGTATGGGTATGTATAGTAAATAGGACATTTGCTGTAAAAGAATATATGCAGTGCTGAATATATGAGTTGAGAATGTGACCTTATCATAATTCAGATTAAATTCTTTATAAAGAACCTCTTAATTGTAGAGAATTGTGTAGCCAAGGCAATATTGAGCAGATGCATTCCTATTTCAAAAAAAAAAAAAAAATAGGTATAAATAAATTTAGATAAAGAAAAGTAATAATGATTGTGCTGAAGAAAGACACAGTACTTGTTGCTGTTACAATAAGATCTTAAACGTTGATAAGCTGATTTTTCCTCATTAGGTTATTACCATTATATTAATACATGAATTTATCTATTAAAATGGAGCAAAACTATGCTGTTCAAAATGCACAGGACTTAAAAAACTGTAGTATACTGGAAATTCTAAATATATTTAGGATAATAAATTCCAACAAAGATCTTGTTTTAGTTAACTTTTAATGCTGTTGTAATCTTCCTGCCAAAATTAAGTTTTTCATTGACTTCATATACAACATTAAGAGACCAGTCTTTTTTTTTTGTGTTAATTATAGCTAGTTTTCAAATAAAATATTCATACAATTACCTTACATTGCTAAACATTCCTTATCAAGGGTATCAAGATATGCATCCACTCCCATGTGCCGGAGCTGAGAGGACTTAGCTGCAAGGAAAGGCTTAATGAACTAGCTCTCTTAACCCTGCATGAATGCAGAGAAAGAGGGTATATGATCACAGCCTGCAGAGTTCTCAGGGGTAATGCCTGCAGTTCAGTGATAGCATGCATACATTGCATCTAGTGGGTTGCTAGTTTTCTTTCACATAATTTCTCCACCTTCATTCAGGTTTTCATTGGGGGAGTAAGAAGAGTATCTAGCTGAGATACAGAAACATGAGAAACAATTTCAGTGTGGCATAATAAAGAAATGGATTGGTTAAACAATGACTCAGTAGAAGCAGACTGCATACAAGCACCCAGATGAATTAAATATAAATCTATAGGGGAAGGAAGGCGGGGTAGGGGTCGTCCTCAAAAGGGTTGGAGAGAGGGGGTAAAGGAGGTTTTGTGGGCAAGGGGCTTGTACTTCCAGCAAGCGTGCATGAGCGTGTTAGATAGGAATGAATGGAGACGAATGGTACTTAGGGCTTGACGATCTGTTGGAGTGTGAGCAGGGTAATATTTAGTGAAGGGATTCAGGGAAACCGGTTATTTTCATATAGTCGGACTTGAGTCCTGGAAATGGGAAGTACAATGCCTGCACTTTAAAGGAGGGGTTTGGGATATTGGCAGTTTGGAGGGATATGTTGTGTATCTTTATATGTGTATGCTTCTAAACTGTTGTATTCTGAGCACCTCTGCAAAAACAGTGATAATGTGTGAGTGTGGTGAAAGTGTTGAATGATGATGAAAGTATTTTCTTTTTGGGGATTTTCTCTCTTTTTTGGGTCACCCTGCCTCGGTAGGAGACGGCCGACTTGTTGAAAAAAAAAAAAAAATCTATTTTCCTCATAATTGACAGTTTTTGCCTATGAATAGTTTTGTGAATTACAAAAAAGGTTCTGACAAGAAACATCACTGCAAAGTACTACAGTATATGTAGAAATAGTTGAATTTTGTATACAGTACTAAATTATTACTTGCTTAAATCATTGCTTATGTTATGTAAGTCAACCTCAAAAGTTATATATACATACTGTATTCATGAAAGACAAGCTTAACTCTTTCACTGTCTCATATGTAGATCCATGTCATTGATGCTGGTGTCACTTGTGTATATATACGTTGTAAGCACAGCTCCCTCAAATGAGCTGTGAGCAGTAATTTTTGGCCTAGACATTAGAGAATGAGTCTGTGCAATGAGTGTGCACAGTATAAAAAACTCTAATCTGTATCATGGGAAAAGCAAACCTCTGACCTTGTGTTTGGTTTAAAATAGCTACTTTGAGGTGTTTCTAGGACTTTTTTTTGTTTTGTGGCTATTTTTTGGTACCACTTGATAGAATGGAATGCATACTAATGAAGTGGTAATAATTTTGGTTAGTTTCAGCAGAACTACAGGAGGGCCCCTGCTTATACAGCAGGTTAGGTTCCAGGCTATTGCTGTAAAGGGAATCATAGTCCTTTTTCACTTTCCAATACGTATAAAAGCCTGATAACGTGTTTACACTATCATATATTAAGTGAGCAATATAGCTAAGCCTAAAAAGTGCACATACAATGCACACATTACTTACCGTAGAATGTTTTCATCCTTAGCTTATAGTGAGTGAATATATTTATTGTAGGAAGTCTGAATAAGTGAAGAAAGGGTATAATTGAAAACTGCTGTATTAGTGAAATGCTGTTAAGTGGGGCCTGCCTATATTTGATTTTTGGCAATTTTCCTGAGGAAGGTTATGACCACCCCTTCAGCCCCACTGCTGTTTTATGGGTTTTACTAGGTTTGCTCCAATTATTGGGATGGCCTAAATCATGACCAATTATTCTTGGATTCAAAATGGAGGGCAAGAGTTATGTAGGAGACACTTGTTTATTCTGGACTGCTTAAAATTGGATTTTTTTTAAATTGGCCAAATTACCAACTTTTGTGCTCATTATAGGGTAGTTCTGATAGTTGAATGGACAGCTTCTTCTGTTCAGTCAGTAGAATGGAAGGCATACTAGAGAAATAGCTGAGAATTGGCTATTTCACTAGTATGCAATTTGGCAATTTGGGCACTGGAATTGGCTAAAAATAGGGCTCAAAGTGGGCAAAATCACTGCTGCATAAATTATGCCCAGACTGCCAACTATGTGTCTGTGTAATTCTGTAAGCCTTCCATCAAAGTTTGCATTTTTAATGTCATTAAATCGGAAAAAGATTATTACTTCAGAAGATTAAAAAAAAAGTTAAATCACAACACTGACACCACTTTTAATTTCAGGGATTGCAACATAGAATGGGTTAACGAAATGTGATAAAATTCTTTTAAAGGAATTAGTTTATTAGGCATATATATGCCAAATTTGGACTAATCCAGTATTTTGGTTGAGTTTCTGATAATATTTTGAAGGTTATATGTACATTTTTCCTTAAGAAATTGAATTATTTGATGCTTGCAGAATATTATAAGGCATGGTAAATTTCACCAAGTGTTATGTTTTTCTGAATTCCATCAAACTTTTTTTTTTATCTTCCAGAATACAATGTTGAGGTTCCACCAGCTCTCAGTGAAAAAGTGCTGAAAGATAAGAGAAAAAAATTAAGAGAAACCCTAGATCGAGTTCTGAAATTGTATGAAAGAGAAAACCCAGAATACTGGGTTGAAATCCGCCGTATGGAAGGAGATTATGAGAAGAAGCGACAAGCACTTATTGAGTATTTTGAGTCGGTTCGACATGCTCAAGCAGTCACGGTTGATGAGATTCCTTTACCAAATCTTGACATGCCACCAGTGCCTGATGAGTCTATGCCTGATCTACCACCACCTCCAGAAATAGTTCCCTTGCCTGTGCCAAATGCCCATATGGTTCCATCTCATAGTATTCTGAAAAAAATGTCTGCATATGTACCACCTCCTGCTGAACCTAAAAAGCCTCCAGGTTGCCCCCCGACACTGCCACCTGATCTTAGTGATGATGAAGAAGAAGAACAAGCAATGGAAACTGAACCTGCTCCTCCTGTTACAGAGAAAGAAGATAATGAAGAAGATGGAAAGGAAGATGATGATGAAACTGAGGAGAAAGACAAGAGTCAGCCACGCAGTCGCACTATTCGTTTTGAAGATGGAGAAGATTCAGATGAAGAAAAGGATACAAGAGTTACAATAACAAATTCTAAAGGTCTTACCAGCTTACAGACTAAGCTGTTGCAGATGTCAGGCCAAGACATAGATGACTTCATGAGGGAAACTGAAGTACTTTTCCGTGAGAAGGAGGCAGAGCGCAAGGCTGACCTCCGGGCTCGATTAGATAAACTATATGATGATGAGCCTCCAAGACCTAATCTGCAACAACCAATACTCAGTGTGCCTCCACCACAAACTAGAGGGCCACCAGGTACTCCTGTAGTTCTGCCTCCAGGTGCAGCAGCATCATCTCAGCCAACTCCCACCAGTCAGAGTATAACACAAGTTACATATCTTCCTTCTGCCCCTCCACCAGCAACAGTCCCAGTAAGTGGTCCGCCTGGTGTCCCACATGTTGCATTACCTGTAGCCCCTCCAGGCACCACCTTATCTACCCCACCAACCACTGTTCCACTTATCCCACCAGGTGTTACTCCAACACCTATACAGTCTACCCCAAATGTGGTCCCAAGTGGTCATCCTGCAGGACCCCTTGGATCATCCTCAGTAATACCTCTTGTTATCCCACCATCTGTTCCACCAGTGGCTCCTCCAGGAGCACCTCCCACAGGCCCTCCAGGGGCACCTCCTGGGGCACCACCTCTTATGTTTCGTCCGCCTCCACCCATGCGCAGTGGTCTCCCACCTCCACTCGGGGTTCGTCCACCGCCAGGGCCTCCTCCCCAAGGAATGCCTCCAAGACTACCAAATATGCGCATGCCACCACCAATGCCTCCTCGTCTTCCAATGCGTCCACCAGGTATTCCACCAGGTATGCCACCACCAGGCATGCCTCCACGTGGCCTTCCTCCAGTTCACAACCCCAATGTGCTGTCTGCAGGACCTCAGCTTATTCCTCGACCCAGAGAAGATGACAAAAAGCATTCTGCAACCATCGAGGCCAAGCCACAGATCAGGTCAGTTTCAATATGCCCTTATTCTTCTTTGCTATCTACCCTTCTTGCTTGTTTCCTTAACTAATTCTAAAATTGGATATCAGAATTAGATGAAATTTCAGGTCATCCTGGATTATTATCAAGTAGTGTCTACCTTTCACTTTGATTTGTGCATGTTGTGAATTTTACTTTCTTGTTTATTATTCACAACTAAAAATGTTCACTCACTTTTCCTGTACTATCCAATGTACTATTTTCCTATGAACACTTTTTTTTTCAACAAGTCGGCTGTCTCCCACCGAGGCAGGGTGACCCAAAAAGAAAGAAAACCCCCATAAAGAAAATACTTTCATCATTATTCAACACTTTCACCTCACTCACACATAATCACTGTTTTTGCAGAGGTGCCCAGAATACAACAGCTTAGAAGCATATATGTATAAAGATACACAACATATTCCTCCAAACTGCCAATATACAAAATTTAATTTCAAATGCTGTACCATATTATATTTCAGTAGGCTGATTGTATCTTTCATTGTACTTACATCATATTTACAAAGTGTCCTGTCACCTTGTCTATCATACTGCCATATATCATTCCATCCATTCGAGTGGTCAGGCTTTTAAAACCTACTTATGCTACTGCGCAATTTATTTAATACATATTTATGTGTCATTACTATTTACCAGACAACGAACTGTTATTAAAGAGGCTTGAGCATCCAGTAGGCAAGTATTAGGTATGGGACAATACCAAAAATTTTGCCAGTGCCAGTACTCAATTTTCAGCTGATACTGATGCTTTTTCAGTAATTTTTTTTTTTCATTTTTATTATAACTATGTTCACTATATGTAGTATAAGGGAATGCTTATTACTCAGTAGGTATTAAATAACCCAGGGAGGTTAAATATTAAGTAACTTAATTTCTCTAAGATGTCAATCTCATACTCATTACTAATTATAGGCATCTTTGTGAGGCATACAAATTGAAAAAGGAAACAGAATTTCTGAATCTATCTACATACAGTGGTACCTTGAGTTACGAACTTAATTCGTTCCAGAAGGCTGTTCAAGTGCCGATACTGAATGAATTTGTTCCCATAAAGAATAATGTAAATTAGATTAGTCTGTTTCAGACCTCCAAAAATACACTTACAAAAGCACTTACAAAAATACACTTACAAAAGCACTTACAAAAATACATTTACATAATTGTTCGAGTTGGGAGCTGTTCAAAACTCGAGGTATCACTGTATATTTAGTAATCCTATGAAGACATCAGAAATAAATTACCAAAAAGAGGCTGAATAATTTCCTGTTACATTAAACATGGAATTAAAACATCCAACACACTCATAATACTGTTTATTTAAAGCTTTAATAAACTGAAAAAGTACATTATTATAATTGAAAATTGAAAATCTGAAATTATAGTTCAGAACTTGAATAGCAACCTTTGTCTTTTATTAACTGACACATTTATGTTATAGTTTAAACTTTTTCTAAACTTTACAGAAGCATATTCAAAAAATAATACATTATTCTAATACCTGACATTAAAAATAAACAATATAAATAGTACATTAATAGCTAAAATTAAAAATTCTCAAATTGACTTGAGGAACATCAACGTCTCGCCATTTTTGGAAGTTAATCAGCTCCTTTGAGGAGAGTAAATGTACCTCCACTGCTGAAATATCTTTCACTAGTAAAGAAGGGGGCAAACTCGAATATTTACTTGATAGGTTTGCCATAGATGGAAGAACTATCATATGTTCTTTCTACCATTCTAGTGGATTTCCTTCTTCAGGTAAAAATGCCATTGCCATATATTTGTCTGTTTCTGATTTTTATGTTTGTGGTAACACGAAAAGCAGCATGTTTATTTTTAGCTTGTGATTTTTGTGATTTGAAGAAGGATCCTTTTGATATACACATACTTTTGATAAGTTTCAAGTTTTCCTTCTTCTGAAGCCCGGCTTTTGGCCAGGCTCGCCTGACCCAAGATCTGCTTTCACACTTATCTATTACATATCTGCTTCTGTAGCTGCAGATAGGTAATTACAGCCTGGTTGATCCAGCACTTACCTGTCTGGAGTCTACCTAGAGGGTATTCTAGGGATCAACACCCCTGCGCCCAGGCCATGACCAGACCTCCTGGTGGATCAGGGCCTGATCAACCATGCTGTTACTGCTGGCTGCACATAGTCCAACGTACGAACCACAGCCTGGCTGATCTGGCACCGACTTTGAGTATCTGTCCAGCTCCCTCTTGAAGGCAGTCATTGGTCATTTCCCTTATGCATGGTGGGAGGCTGTTGAGCAGTCTTGGCCCCTAGACACTTAAGGTGTTTTCTCTTAGTGTACCAATGGTGCCCCTACTTTTCATTGGGGGTATTTTGCACTCCCTGCCCAGTCTTTTACTTCCATAGGGAGTGATTCCTGTGTAGATTTGGGACCATTCCTTCTAGGATTTTCCAGTGTAGATTATGATATGTCTCTCTCGCCAGCATTCGAGTGAGTACAAGTCATGTGCTTCCAAGCGTTCCCAGTAGTTGAGGTGTTTGATGGAACTTGTATGTGCAGTAAAGGTTCTCTGTACACTCTCTAGATCTGCAATTTCACCTTCTTTGAATGGAGATGTTAATGTACAGCAGTATTCCAGCCTAGAGAGAACAAGTGATTTGAAAAGGGTCATCAGTGGCTTGGCATCTCTTGTTTTGAACATTCTCATTATCCAGCCTATCATTTTCTTTGCATTTGTGATCATGGCACTTTCATGATCCTTGAAAGTGAGATCCTCAGACATTACCACTCCCAGGTCCCTCACATTATCTTTTTGCTCTATTGTATGATCAGAGTTTGTAGTATACTCAATTCTTATTATTATCTCCTCCAGTTTTCCATAACAGAGTAGTTGGAATTTGTCTTCATTGAACATCCTATTGTTGTCCGTTGCCCATTGGAAAACTTGGTTTGTGTCTTCTTGGAGGTTAACCGTGTCCTCAATAGATGACAGCCTCATGCAGATCCTAGTATCATCTGCAAAGGATGACACAGTGCTGTGGATTACATCTCTGTCTGTGTCTGATATGAGGATGAGGAACAGGATGGGCACGAGTACTGAGCCTTGTGGAACAGAGCATTGTGACTGTATTTGTCCAATTTTCATTTAAAGGCATCTGCACTTGTCCCAGCATTGTTTCTAATATGTGTTGGTATGATTTTAGTCAGGGCCCATGGGTGTTGATACAATGTTCTTTTATTTTGCCTATGGTACTCTTGCTTTTCTTCCATATTTCTCACTCCAGTATGTTATGGCAGTGCAGATTTGAGAGTAGGCCCTCAAGTACTTTCTACATATATATTATCATGTATCTCTTCTCCACTCCAGCAAATACATATTTAGAGCTTTGAGGCATTCCTAGTAATTTAAATGCTTTATTAGCTCTACATAGGCTGTAAATGATCTCTGTACCAGATCCTGATATTTTACCTGCCCTTGACCCTAAATACTTATAAATAATTAACGTAGGATAACCCAATTTAGTCTCCATGGGGAAGTGGAACAGAATTCTTCCTCCATAAGCCATGCATGTCATAAGAGGCGACTAAAATGCCAGGCGCAAGAGGCTTGTAACCCCTTCTGTATAAATTACTAAATTTAAAAAGAAAAACTTCTGTTTTTCTTTTTAGGTCACCCTGCCTCAGTGGGATACAGCCAGTTTGTTAAAAAAAAAAAATTGGTCAGTGTGACTTATTTCCATTTTTTGAGGAGTATTATGTCTTGAAACAGTTGTACTATCACAGTACAAGAAGACCAAAGAAGCTAAAAAAAATAGGAAAAAATAATTATTTGCTCTAATTTAAACTGTATACGTATTTTATGTGGAGTAATGTCAGATTCTGCATTTCCCCAAGTTTGAAGTGCTTTAGTGAAACACCTTAAACACATCTAATAACATAATTAGTGTAGTGTTAAATATTACAAACAGTAAAAAAATTAAAAACAATCATAATTTGGTATGAATGAATTGTAAAATGTAGATATTGCTGGCGCATTTATGCCGCTGTTGCCAAGTGATAATTTTTTTTGCCAGTTTCCACTTTTTTTTTTTAGGTCTTATTTAATTCATAGAAATTCACTCTTTCAGTATATAAGAAAAAAAAATTGTATCTTTCAAAATTTTGCCACACAGGAATTTTCATTTGTAGGTATGCCACACTTAACGAGTTAATGAGATTCACATTCTTGCTCTCCAAGTAGTAGATCGGTTAGTCTTGGTAGTGCTTAAAAGCAGTCCAGGAAGTAAAATGTGGTATCCCTTTCATCTTTCATTGTTTTTCTATATTCACTTCAGTACCACATGATAATCTGCTCCATTTTTCTACTGCTATAACCATTTTCAGCAAATATATTTCTGACTTTTTTGTCCTCCCCATTGAATACATTTACTATATAGTACAAGACCTGGAGAACTTGTGTGAATTTAATTACTAAAATTTCATTTGTATTTATACCTGTGGTGTCCACATCTAAATGAGGAAAAATTTGTACCTTTGACAGAAATCTCAGTGCAGATGTAACACGTTTCCTACCAACTGCTCTGAGAGTGAAGAGAGAAGACAGAAAGAAATTAGGAAAAGCACAAACAGGTTGGTTCAATTTTGTATCCATAATTAAAATTCATAAAATGTGTTTTCTCTTGTTAGTGATGAAAGTTGCAATTGATAGGTGCTTGGAACTTGGAATACAAATGCTGGTACTGTACACCATAGTAGAGTAACTAGGTAATTTTTAAGAATGCTATATATGTATACTGTAAACATTGTACAGTACTACACAGTATAAAATAAAATCAAAACTGCCTTTAATTCCCAAGCATTGAGTGCTATTGTATTTACAAGCTATCCTCTCAATGTTCAACCAGCTCCAAATGCTTTGGTAGCTGTCTGTCAGCCTTCTGTAAGGTTTAGCTCTCCTTTTTTATTCATCATATGCCTACAGTGGTTCGTATAGTAAAGATAAGCTTTTTAGTGGTACTTTACTTGTGTATTATGACAACCTTAGTGATTTCTTTAGGTCCCTTTCCAACTTAATTTACTTTGCAGTCTAAGAATTTTTTTTTTTCCTTTTTTTTTTTTTGTAGCCATTGTGCTACAATATTTCTTCATGATTACTGTATTGATTATTCGTATCTTTTATTAAGTTTGAGCTTGTGTATGGTATTTACATTTTTATAAGGTAATACAAACATGCACAATTTTAAATCATTTACCAAATTTCTTTTAGCATAGTCAGCCTGTAAATGTGTTTTGATGTAAAGGAAATTCATTTATTTCAGATATCAAAGAAATGGGAGGAGGCAAGGCTGAAGAAACTGATCTAAACCAACCAAAGACGATGCTTATTCTCAGTTCATGAGAGAGATGGAAGGGCTATTGTAAAAATGTATACTTTTTTTTTTTTTAACCTACTTGTTTCTTTATGACATTTAGGCTGAACCTTATTTTCATAACCCAAACTTGGAAAGATAATTCATGAAAAAAAAAATTTATCGAAATTAATACCATATCTTTTCTGTTACAGGCTTTTTATTTTAATGTGTTTCACAGTCAAAAGTAAATCATTGTTATTACTTGTGTAAGTGCTTTCACTAGTATAAATATGTAAGAAAATGCTTGAAAAACATTAATAAACATATTGATCATCATTGGAAAACATATGTTGTGAAGTTTAATCTTCCTCTAGGGAGGTTCCTTGATGCTAATGAGGGGCTCTTCATCCAAGGAATTTGATTTGTCCTTCCCTTCCTTGGACCCAAACCTCCAGGCACTACATGCCCCCCTACAGGTTCAGCACTTCCCTCTAAATACTGTAGAGTATAATCATTATGAAGTTCAGTATTTTTGTGTACTGTATTTTATCAAAAGATGATGTACTGTATTTAATGCTCACAAAGTGACAGGTTTAGACAAGTGCTGTATCATGGTGTTTCAGAGATCTTCATATTTAATTTATAAAACAAATAGATGAACTAAATTCAGGTACAGTATCCATCTGTAATTGATGAGGTAATTTAAATAAAATTGAAACAGGATATACAGACACTATTTTATTTTAGAGCTCATCTACTTGACTATGAGCCTTTTTTTTTACAGAAAACTCGCTGGCCAAATATATGTGACTTGGCAAATGTCACTGTTCTATGTCCAAGCATCTTATTTTATGCTTTGGACATTTAACATGCATGACATTCTTCTTGTGATAATACAGTGAGTTATTTACACAACATGAGCTGAAGATGACTGTGCCAGGAGATACTGAAAGAGAAATATAATAGTAATGTTCTTATGTGCAACACGTGCTATCAAATGCTCTGCCTGTTATTCATAAAATGAGGTGGTGCAAAAAAATTTCTCTAAATATCTTAACAGAATTACTTTCACTTATTTTAAAGCATTACACAGTTCAACACTTTACAATTTTCTAAGAAATTCTAAATGCATTAAGAATGGTAAGATGTAAGTATTTCAAAATACTTTCTTATACATAATGAGATAAAGGACTGAAGTATAGAGTTAAAAACCTACTGGTATAAATATGGTGTAAATATTATGCAGAAAATTCGGAGTGTGGAAATTAGGAAAAGGTGTGTGAGTTAATAAAATCATTAGTCAGAGGGCAGAAGAGGGGTTGTTGAGTGGTTTGGTCATTTAGAGAGAATGGATCAAAGTAGAATGACATGGAAAGCATATAAATCTATAGGGAAGGAAGAAGGGGTAGGGTCGTCCTCGAAAGGGTTGGAGAGAGGGGGTAAAGGAGGTTTTGGGCGAGGGGCTTGGACTTCCAGCAAGCGTGCGTGAGCGTGTTAGATAGGAGTGAATGGAGACAAATGGTACTTGGGACCTGACGATCTGTTGGAGTGTGAGCAGGGTAATATTTAGTGAAGGGATTCAGGGAAACCTGTTATTTTCATATAGTCGGACTTGAGTCCTGGAAATGGGAAGTACAATGCCTGCACTTTAAAGGAGGGGTTTGGATATTGGCAGTTTGGAGGGATATGTTGTGTATCTTTATACGTATATGCTTCTAAACTGTTGTATTCTGAGCACTTCTACAAAAACAGTGATAATGTGCAAGTGTGGTGAAAGTGTTGAATGATGATGAAAGTATTTTCTTTTTGGGGATTTTCTTTCTTTTTTGGGTCACCCTGCCTCGGTGGGAGACGGCCGACTTGTTGAGAAAAAAAAAAATATTCATTGGACCATTCAAGGGAGGGAAGGGATCTTTGATGCTGGTTAATGGATCTCGAGCCAAAAAATTGGAAGTGCCACCTTCCTTAGGTCAAACGTAATTGCCTCTCATTCCCAGGCACTCTATGATCCAAAGAATTAAAATTGCTCTCCTTTTACAGAGGTTGGATCTCATTACCTTCCATACAAAGAAGTCTGGAAGTTCATTTTATTACTGAAGGCAATGCCCAGAAAAATATTAATATTTACATAATGCTGCTATACATTAAAATGAAAATTATATCTGGTGTAAAAAGGCAGAAATGGGTGTTGCAGAGATGGTAATTTGTAAGGCAAAAATATTGTAGTATAAAGATAAGGTAATTAAAGTCAATACACTAGATAAAACATGAATAAAATTGGACACTGAGAGCATACAGATTGAAAATACAATTGGCATACCCTGATAAACATCTCTTTATTAAAAATACTGTCAATGTGACCTGGCAATCCTCTCAGTGACATCCTTTCATGAGAAAACCATAGGTGCCCAATGTATGGAAAGAACCACCATGTTCTCCCACAACATATAATTGATAAGAGGATGGCCAGAAGTCTAGGTTATCTGAGTATAATCAGCCTATATTATTATTATTATAATCAAAAAGAAGTGCTAAGCCACAAGGACTATACAGCGCTGCAGGGCAGGAAGGAAGCGAGGGCATCAGGTGGCAAAAGGGAGATGGATGAGTAATAGGTTACGGATAACAGCAGGGTAGTGGATGGTGAAAGGGTAAAGGGCAGCAAGAGACTGAACTAGAAAGGGCTGAGGGGAGTGCGAAAAGTATCATTAGAGTTTGTGGAGTAAATCAGTCGTTGTCAAGAAGTCAATGAGGAGTCAGGATTAAAGGAGGGTCCATCAGCAAGAAGGGAAGTAAAGAGAGAGTAGTGGGAACAGGGAGACGCAATGGGAGTAAATTCTGCGTGCTCGTTGATAAGAGAGGCAGTCAAACCCCAAATGTGGCAAAACGATACTGGAACTTGACACTGCTCACAGAGAGGAACAGGGTGCCTCCCATGAGATCCCCCATGAGAAAGACGAGTGGGCCAATCGAAGGCGGGAGAGAGTGGTCTCCCAACCTTGGCACTGATGACAAAGAAGACGGCCAGTAACCTATGCTCGGTTTAATAGAATAAAGTTTGTTACCGAGCAGAGTTGACCAACGTTGTTGCCAACGGGTGCGAAGGTGGGTAGCTATTGCAGCAAAATAGTCCAGAAATGGAAAAACCTCGATAGGAAATTGGTAGGTAAATGTACTGCTGACCGTGCAGCAGTGTCTGCCTGTTCATTGCCCTGTACGTCGACATGACCAGGGACCCAACAAAAAACAATATCTTTATGTTTGATAGAGATACGGCGTAGCCAAAGTTGGATACGGAGAACTAGGGGATGAGATGTATCAAATTTTCGTATACCTGTAGAGCACAAAAGGAGCCCTGAGACTACAAACAAATGATGACACAGGCATAGATGCGATACGAGTAAGTGCTGCAAGAATGGCATACAGTTCAGCAGTAAAAAAAAAATGCTAGCTGAAGATAGTAAATGCCCCCGCACGACACTGTCTGGAAACACTGCTGCGAATCCAACGCCGTCTGAAGACTAGAGCCATCTGTGTACACAGCGGTGGCATGAAAATGGGAGCGGAAGTGATCAAGAAAAAGAGAGCGGGAAGCCACCATAGGCAGTTGAGCTTTCGAGCAAGGGAGTGAGAAAGAACAGACCCAAACAGCTGGAACTTCCCAGGGGGGTAGGGAAAAGTGAGATGCTACATGAACATATAAAGGTGGTAACTGAAGTGAAGACAAGAGTGAATGTAGGCGAAGAGAAAAGGGACGGAGCAAACAGGGGCGGCGAACGAATAAAGAATGTCTACTAATATCGGTGACCATTCTATAAATGGAAGGATTGTGTAGATCGTGAGAGCGTACATAGTAGCGAAGGCAATGGGCATCACGGCGATCAGACAAGGATGGAACATTCGCTTCTGTATAGAGGCTCGCTGTATAGTCCTTGTGGCTTAGCGCTTCTTTTTGATTATAATAATAATAATGTATAGAGGCTCTCAACAGGGGAAGAGCGAAAAGCACCAAGGCACAAACGTAATCCTTGGTGATGGATAGAGTTAAGGCTAGAGAGAGTAGCAGGAGAGGCCGCGGAATAAATCTGGTCACCATAATCCAGTTTCGATAAAACGAGGGCTGAATGTAGGCGAAGCAGAGTTCGACGATCAGCTCCCCAGGAAAGATGAGCAAGGGTTTTAAGAAGGTTTAGCCGGCTGTGACAAGTTGCCTTCAGAGAGGTAATGTGAGGTTTCCAGGATAACCTACAGTCAAAGAGAAGGCCTAGAAACCTGACTATCACGTTCGGGGATACGGGAGCCATAGAGATACAAAGGATAATCGGAGATAACAGAGCGTCTAGTGAAAGTAATTTGGTGAGTTTTGGTACTTGAAATTTAAACGCTGCGTGGTGGCCCAAGTGGAACACGGTCGACCGCATGCTGGAGAGAAACTGCAATAAGATGACAGTCAGCGCCTGCACAAAGCAATAGCGAAGTCATCAACATAGAGTGATGACCAAATATTGGGTGGAAGAACAGAGGCCAAATCATTTATAGCAAGGAGAAAAATTTGTTGTGCTTAGAACAACCCCTGAGGACACCTTCAGCTTGGACTAAGTCCGGGAAAGAACATTATTGACTCGAACATGGAAATGTCTGTCAGTTAAAGTGTTCTTAAGGAAGGATGGTAGATTGCCTGGGAGGCCTAAGGAATGGGCCTGGGCCAAAATATTATACTTCCAAGTTGTGTCAATATGCCTTCTCAAGGTCAAAAAATTGGCAAAAAACTGAGTGATTATTCGCAAAGGCATTACGAACATCGTATCCAAGCGTAGTAAGGGGTTATGGTAGAACGACCCTTACGAAAGCCAAAATTGATAGCGGAGAGACTGTTGTGGGGTCTCTAAATACCCATTAAACGTCGATTTAACGAGACGTTCCATCACTTTGCAAACTGCACTAGTAAGCGAGGGGACGTAGTGGGAGGCATCATGTCCTGTAGTCCCCGGTTTGCGGAAAGGGGAACAATGGCAGATTTCCACAGCGGGGGAAGAACTCCTTGTGCCAAATAAGATTGAAGAGGTGTAAGAGGACTACAAGGGCTGACCGATGTAAATGTTGTAACATACGAATATAAAATGTCGTCAGGCCCAGCTGCCGATGATCGGCAAGCTGAGAGCGTTCCCCTCCGTTCTTGAAGTGTAAAAGGCACATTTATACTGTTCTTCTCTGAGAAAAGAAAAGCCCAAAGGGGTACTAACTCTCTGGCAGACTTTGAGGAAAAAAAACGAGGGCATAGATGGAGCCCTCGGGAAATACGGACCAGAGTGTGCCAAGTTCAATGGCAACGCGAGAGGGTTTGCTACTCAACACCAGCAACCCGTAGAACAGGAGCCGGTAGGAGAGAAATTACCACTCAATTTCCTCACTTTTTTCCAGACTGCACTCATAGAAGAAGCAAGGTGATGGTGGAAACATAGTCTCGCCAACAAGTGCGTTTAGCTTTCACGGATGACACGGCGAGCGATCCCCACGCTTCTGCTTAAAATCAAGAAGTCTCTCAGCGGTTCTACTGTACCGGTACCTGCCCCATGCAGCACGTTTCAAATGTACTGCACGAGCACAAGCGGAGACCACCAAGGCACGCACTTCTGGGGAATGCCTCCCTGAGGTTTGGGTATAGAATGAGAAGCTGCGTAAAAAACTGACGTCGAGAAGATGTGTAGGAGCTCATCAATGGGGGATGAAGAAGGAACCTCCTAAAACAGTGAGGTTGAGTAAAGATCCCATTTGGGCCCGATAAAATTTGGGCCAGCAAGGGCTACGGAAAGGTGGTGAATAGGAAGGAGAAAATAAGAATGATCGGGGAAAAAGATCGCTGTCATTAAAAGTCCGGTAGAACAGACCAGGTGAAGTCTAGTGCAGTGGAGGAAGAGCAGACTGATAGATCGATGCAAGAGAGAG